GGCGGAGTAGGCAAGGGGAGCAGCGTGGGCGATAGGGGCAGCGTAGGTCTGGTAAGCTGGGGCGATGGTCTTAGCGATGGGCGCGGCGTATGCGACAGGGGCGGGAGCAATGGCCTTGACGACTGGGGCGGCGACAGCCAGGGGCTCCTTGCGGACGACGGCGTTGAAACCGTTGACGGGGTCGGCGGTGTAGTCGACGATGCGGCGGGTGCCGTCAGCGTCGTTGAGGGAGTACTGGCCCTGGACGACGTCACCCTGGCGGGTCTCCTGCTGGTTCTTGGAGTCGCCAGTCAGACCATCCTGGATGTCGTAGGCGTAACTGTAGCTAGGGTTCGGGTCAAAGTCGGTGTCCACAGCCACGGCCTTGGCGATAGGGGCAGAGTAGGCCAGGGGGGCGGCGGGCAGGAGACCAGCCTGGGCGACGGCCACGAAAGCGGCGAGGACGAAGTACTGACGAGGCACATTCAATGTTATTAAAATTTGAGATGTCCTGGACGTGATTGACGAATGTCTGTGTTGCCACTTACCTGGAAAGCCATGGCTACTTCTTTCAGTTGGCAGAAAGGAACTGATGCTCAGGAATCTGCACTTGAAGCTTTTATACTGGGGCGACACCAGGACAGTGGTCGGGCGAGCTGCTCTGGGCCTCCCCCTCCCTAAAGACCACCCTGGCCACGCCCTCCCCTGCGTGTGCACGCTGCACTCCTTCATTTTCGATGCGTCCGTGTTTTCTCTACACTCCATTGTCTTTTTAGCGTGTTTTACCCCCAAGTCGTACAAGATGATCTCACATATAAAAACTGCAGTGAAAGTAACCCCACATCCCCCACTCCCAATCGCAAACAACTCAACTGCAGGTGCTGTATCGCGCCTGTCACACACAACGCTACGTCTGCAGCGCTGACACCCGAGAAAATATGGTTCAACCGGGGTAAGGCATTGCCCCCCCCCCTGAAATTTGACAGCCCAGCAAACTGTTGAGAACGTATCACTTCATAGTGCAACTGAAACTAAGGTATTTAAAAAGAGAACCCATTTAAAGTTGCAACTTTGTCAGATGGTTGTACCAACCGATTTTTTGGGTGACTGTCAGAATTCTAGTGTTTTTAGAACCATCAAAAGGTGACATTGTCGGATTTTTAGTGTTTTTTTTGGGGGGGGGGGGAGACTTCTTAAAACAGTTTTCTATTTTTGAGCATATGTTCCCAAACAGGCAGAGATAAACACACTAACTGGGTTTGCATCATTTGTACGTCCACATTTAAAGAAACAATTTTTTTGTACGAATTGAGGATTAAGAGCAAAATGGAAACCAAACTGACCCAAAGAGACAAAGGGTTCTCTTGTGAAGATTTACCCTCTATTAGGGAATAAAAGGGAAAGGACTTTAGAAAGACAAACAGCTATTCCAACTTATGGATCGATTTCGAACCACTCGCACAGCACTACAGCCAAACAGACACACATAATGAAACTTTTTCGGTCGGTGAAGGAATGAGTAACGGCTCAGTCACGAAACTCTGGCCAACAATTAACAGTCGAACACAACTATTTTTATCCAAAAAATGTCGTCGAAAGTGCTTTTACGAACGACCATACAACTCATACTGGACTTAGAACAACAAAGAAATTTCACTGCCAATGATAAACCACTACCGGGGGCGCGATGTACGGACCGCCTGCTAGTATTGGCAGGTCCTCCCCCCTCTCCTTCGTCTCTATCACTGCCCCTGCAAATCAAACGGGTCGGCGACAAAGACAGACAGGCTAATGCACCCACACGGTGCCGTTGCGCCGAGGAACTTTTTTTGCTTTATTTTCTGAGGTCGATTAAAAGAGAAGATGGAGTGGAGAACGTTGGCCGAACCGAGCAGCGCAGGCCGTCGAGGCGGGTGAGGCGGGCGGTGCGTGAGCGTGCCAACAACCCAGTGCCCCAGTGCGCGGCCCCTCGGATTTGTTTCAAGCCCCGCCCCTCCCACCTCGGTGGCGAAGCACGTGAACACGTCTCTTTATAACACGAGTTTAACTCGGCAAATGTAAGCCTCCCCCCCCCCCCCCCCCCCCCCTCCCTAGGTTTTACAAAATGAAATTCTAGTCTTTCAAATAAGATTTGGCAAAAATCGATTTTCCATTTGCTGCATGTGCACACAAATCTCGACGTGCTCTAAGAACTAGAGACAGTAGCCCCCCTAGCAAAGCACGACGCGCACCCAGCCGATGCAGCACAGATTTCACACTAACTCTGACTACCTGATAGCCAGTGGCTGTTATGGGAACAACGTTGAATAGGTTTTTCTTGGGGGTCTGGCACGGTTCTAGAACCATGACCGAGGTGCTAACGGTCTTCGATCACGCTGAAAGCATAAAACACAGGCAGCGCACAGCAACCGACCACAAGCAGCAATTTATTAGCCGAATCCCATCCCAAGGCCACACCACCCAACGCGGCTGCGCAGGCTCCGCTCCTCAGACTGGCGGTTCCGTTTTTCACGCTCCCTGTCCACACGCGCGGAACCGCCCACCGCCACAAACATCAGCCGACAGCCCAGCTGACACGCGTGGGGGTCACTTGTCAGTTCCCAGTTACAAGGATCAGGATCATTTAGCAAATTTTTCAAGACGTTTTGCACTTCTTTGAGTACGGCTGTAGTATTTAATTTGATGAAGACGAAATGACACCTCAGGATATCGATCCTCTCAGACAAGTGGAGAGCTCTTGCTAACATCTTATGATCACCTCAAATACAACCATACTATGGTTACATTCCTAACAATTAAACACTTGTCGGAAACATAGTTTAGTCGACACTGCAATTTTAGGGTGCCTCCACCATATTTTTAAGCGTGTCCCAAGTATTCGTTGCTACAATCTTCGATGCATCTCTGGGTTTGTCATTCGCTACGCGATTCTCCTTTATACATCGTTCAAAATTGTCGTACTGGGTATAAGAAAATTTTCCATGGAAGATATCGTACAGTTGCACTTTATAATTATCGAGGGGGCAATAACTCCCTTTTGAAGTGTACACATGATTCCCGAAATTCTTGATTCCCGGTGATTCCCGTCCGCTTATAATTATTACATAGATTTTCGGGGGGTTTTAGTGGTATAAAACGCTTATTTCGACTGATTTGTACTTATTTCTCTAGTTTCACGCTTAATCTAGGCGATTTCTATTGATTTTGATCAATTTTTATCCTGATGATTCCCAGACAGGTGTACACATGATTCCCGGAGTTATTGCCCCCTCGATAATTATAAAATTTACGTGCCCTGCGTATCGGCTTGGAATCGAATAACAAGCAAGAGTGGGAGGTTGTACCATGTACGACTTGGTTTTTAAATGGCAGATTACAAAATATATCGTACATGTACTGCCATATTTTGCACAGTGCAACAGTGCCGGACGAATAAGTCACACATCATATGCTCGATAAATCTAAATTACAAGTAACAACGCTTGCCTGTTCAAAGCTACGCTCTTTTAGTATACCGTTCGGCAGACGTTTTAAAAAACAATGGTTAATAATGTTCGTGACAAGTAGAAGCCATAGATGCGCAGTGGTCAGTTGGGCGGGTGGCGAGCCGGCCAGCCCGGCTCGAGGACGCTTACAAGGTCGTGCGAGGAACTGGATCCTCCTTCCCCTCCCATGTCCTCTCTTTCCTCCCCTTGCACCTGCACTCCAGATTTTTTATACGTTACTGCCAACAGACACAGACGACGAGGCACACTTAAAAATACCTCGCAAAAGTTACTTTGAAAACATAAGTGTGCACATGTATGCATTATTTCCTGAAAACCTACATGTCTCTAACAGCAATGTACACACGTAGAACGCTTTGTTAAAAGCTTTGTGCTAAGGTGTATACTTAGCCACGTACAATACGAACTATCTCCTGCAAACATTAGCATGTACACACAATTTCCCACTCACAAGATCATGTACACACCCCCTGCCTTTTGCATACGTCACTGTAAAAAATATGTTCGTACATGAACGATATATTTTGTAATTTACCAAAAATTACAATATATGTTGTATATGTACAACCTCCCACTCTTGCTCGTCGTATGATTCCAAGTCGATACGCAGGTCTAATAAATTTACAATTTTAATTGGAATTATACATCTTACGTAGAAACACGGTAAAAAAAGATTCGCTAAGTCAGCTAATATATTGACTGGTATCTGGACAGACAAGCACATAAACTTCTGTAATCAGTATATTGTCTACCCTATTCAATCATTGGCTGTGCCAGTCAAAAATTAGCTGTAAGAGCTTATCCCTAACCTAAATCAGTCGAGGTCTACCTTACTGATGCAGGCAAATCATTACTTATTACAACTTTTCTTTGACTGGCGCAGCCAATGATTGATTAGAGTAGACAATATAGTGGTTACATAAGTTTATGTGCTTGTCTGTCCAGATACCAGTCAATATATTAGCTGACTCAGCGAATCTTTTTTTTGTGAAATTTTACGATCCCCAGTACGACAAATTTTCGCAGTGCTTGTAGGTATTCCGGTGGTAAGGCATACATGTACACACTTATATTTTTAGAGTAGGCACGCACACCCAGGAAAATAGTTTCTTGATTCAAGTGCAAGCTGACACAAGATGAAATTCACCATTGAAACAAGGTAATATTGTCTTTGGAATGAGATTTTTCTCTTATTCGAAAAAAAAATATTAGCTTGTTACAAGAGTAAATTTGATCTTGTGTCCGCGTGCATTTCAAACAAGGAAAAATTTACTTAAAGCAAGAAATGATTTTTCTGGATGTCGGCGTATGCCTGCAGAAGTGGCGTATCTGTGAAGAGGCGCGGAACACTGGCGGTTCTGCGACGTCCCGGCCAACACTGGCGGATCTGGGAAGAAACGCGGTCATTACAAGCGGATCTACTTTTCGGCTGATCTGCACAGTCAACTTTGGAGGCCTATTGCTCATCGTAGGCATGTCGTATAGAATTGAGTGATGCCACATTGCAATGTCTATATCCTCGTGATTGAATTTTAACATCAACTACTTCCGATTGCAGCCTGGTCAAAGATAAAACATTCAGGTTTAGTAAAGATGCCAAAGGACATGCGTATTCGTTTATTGTTGTTCATACTACAATTTTTAGAAGTACCAGGTGGCTGATTAACCCCGCGCACTTCTGTAGTTAGACTGTACCGCACGCACGAGTGCGGGCGGGCTTGCCTATCGCCCCTGTCCACGGCGCCTTACGGGCCGGGCGGGTAGGCAACCCGCCCGCACTCATGCGTGCGGTACAGTCTAACTATAGTAGTGCGCGGGGTTAGCCACCTGGTATATTTGAGGTCGACAAGAAATTAAAAAAAGGGGTAAAATGAATATTTTCGGTTCAAAGAAGTGACCACAACATACTTATAATTTTGGATGAAATCTTTAATATCTTGTTTTGAATGGCGGGCACAGCTTTCGGAGTACGCTTAAGTCTCTGTGCAAGGTAAAGGGTCTGAGTCGGGCACACGCAAAAAAGGTAAAACAATGGAAAGCAGTTAGCGCGGTGTTTGACGTGAGTTCGTTAGGGTATGTTTTGCATTTTCAGCTTCTTCTTTCATTTTAAAAGCGGTCTGGGTAAGAAAGGAGAGAAGGGAAACAGAACGCAAACAGACTGGAACAGCAAAACGCTTATTTTTAATTCCGGAGAACAAACGGCGCCAGCAGGATTCACACAAAGTTTAAAGACGGAACTTTAGCAATTATTGAAGAACGCTGATAGTGCACACCCATAAAAATCGTTTCTTGTTTTAAGTAAATTTTTCCTTGTTTCAAGAGCACGCCGAGACAGGATCAAATTTACTCTTGAAACAAGCTGACATTTTCTTTCGAATAAGAGAAAAATGTTATTCTAAAGACAATGTTGCTTTGTTTCAAAGGTGAATTTCATCTTGTGTCAGCAGCTTGCACTTGAATCAAGCTAGTTTCCTGAGTGCAAGATTTCAAACTTGTTGCGTCTTCTGTAACTTGTAAAAGAAGTAAATAATAGGAGCACATCTCCAGGCATGTGGCAGTACTTGACTAATGCGGGATAACGACGCATCGCATTTTCCCTAAGAAGCTTTCCCGCCCTTCGTTTTATCACAACTCTCTTCCACGCAGCCGCTTAGTACGCATAGCTTACGTAGGGGTTAGTGAAGGCCGTGAACACTGCACTAGTGTAGCCCTGGCCAGAAGTGGCGAAGTGCACTGGGGGGTCAGGGTGGGGGAACCGGTAGGCGGCAGAAGCGGACGCCTGGCCGCTGGTGGCGGCTGCGGGGGCGGAGCCCGAGGGGGCGGGGCCGTACTGCACCAGGGGCAGCGAGAAGAAGGCCCTGTGTGCGGCTGGAGCCTCAGGTCTAGCTGCAGACGGCTGCTGGTGCTGCTGTCCGAAGAAGAAGAACGAGGAGGCGGGCGACGTGTTAGGACCGTGAAGTGCGGCCGGGGCCAGGGCAAGCAGCGGCAGCGACTGCAGCAGCAGGTGCGGGCCCTGAACCTGACCGGCTGGCACCGAGGTTGCCGGCGACACCCTCTCGCGGCCGCCGATGTTGACAAAGCCGTCCTCAGACGAGGGCACCGACGGTCGCTGCACATCGACGGCGACGAGGCGTCCTGACGACAGTGGCAGGGGCGTGCTGGCCTGGGCCTGCAGACGCGCAGGGGCGGGCGTTACTACCTGCAGCAGCTGTGGGGCGGTCGACTGCGGCACGCCCCGGTACACGAGCTGCTGCTGCGGCGCGTCCGGGCCGAAGAGAAGCTGCTGTTGGGGCCGCAGTTGCCGCACCAGCACCACGGCCGGGGCCGGCTCCAGTGCCGGCGCCAGTGCCGGGGCGAGGGCCGGCGTGGCGGTAGGGAACGGCCCCTTCACGAAGAGCGCGGCGCCAACGCCAGCGTCCCTCCTCACGACGGCTGTAAAGCCGTGCACAGGGTGCGCCGAGTACTCCACGGTGCGCTGGCTTCCGTCCGCCTCCAGCAGCGAGTAGCTGCCCAGGACCACGCCACCCGTGCGCCGCCGCTCCTCCTGCCTCTTCGCGTCGCCCGTGCGCGAGTCTCGCACTGAATACTCGAAGCTGTACTCGTTGCCGTCATCACCGCTCTGCTCCCGCTGCTGCTGCTTCACTGTTTGGGCGCTGTCCACCGCCACAACTGCCTCCACTTCGTCGTTGTCCAGTGTGTCCTGTTCCGTCAGTCTCGTCGTCGGCGCTGAAGTCTTCGTTACAGGGGGCAGCTCGGACGCCGAAGATGACGCAGAGCTGCTTCGGGAGGACGCTGTCGTGAGAAATGCAGCCAGCAGAAGCAGCACGCCGACCTGGAATGTATTTTTGGAAATATCGAAAAGAAGGTTAAAATGCCGTACTACGGATGCCACAAAGTTGTATTGTCTGAAGGAAACTTAGTGAATCCTCAATTTTTTAAGGGTTTTGAGGAGAGCCCACTCCAGCCCATACCTTTGGGTCCATGACGACGAGTCACTGCCCGGAGCGACGCCTGCTGCACCACTGCGCCGCGCGCTGCACTGCACTACAATATATAGAAGTGCAGGCGTTACGACGCTGCCCGGTACCATGCAACGCTGCAGGAAGGGCAGGGGCGTGTTTCACACGCGGAGGGACGGCACAGTAGATAATTTTATGAAATTGTTGGGATTTCACTTAATGCACTTTTGAGAATTCCCAGTGAACTAACTGCGCTTCCAACTCTTTAAATGGTTTTAAGGAGCAAAGATCTGACGCGCACCACCTTAACGTTTACAAGCTTAATTTGACAGTTAAAATAGCCCATCCAACGTAATTGCAAAATGTGCAATTCAGTATTATTCGCGTAATGTTTGGTTAGCTCTAATACGGAGGCAGGTGAAAGATCCTAAATTACTCCGGTGATGTATATTCATGAAATATGAACATAAATGAAGATTTTCAAGACCACTTTGGAATCTTAAGGTAACCGATCGGTGTATTTAATGAACCATCAGAAACAAGCTAAAAAGTGATACATAAACAATAATCTAGAGCGGAAAAATAAACGACTTTTCTCCTCACTGTAAAATTTCTTTGTCACGATGATGGAAATACCATGGCTAATTTTTAGTACAGAGGTGTCGTCATGAGTTTTTTGTCACGTGATAAAGGTTTTCTTGTCACCGTGACGAGAAAACTCATGACGACAACCCTGTACTTAAAATAAGCCATGGTATTTTCGTCATCGTGACAAAGAATTTTTACAGTGTGGTGTTGGAGTGGCCAGGCCACACGTCAATGTGCCAAACAGAATAGAGCCCGGTCCACCCGCTGTACTGCGTGGCCAGGCGACGGTCGGGGATATGGTCGGAGAAAGCAAGGGGGCCCATTATCATATTGCGGAATGCTCAGGACACGTAGAATCACTCGCGGCACCACCAGATTTATCGGCATATATCGAGCTCCGAGTCCAAAGATTAATAAAAACTCGATGAACTGCAACCTGCTCTCCCCGTCCGCCTTCCATCTCGCTCCTCGTTTTTCCTCTGCCCGTTTATTGCAATTGAGCGCGTAGTGGATCTTAGTACGGAGAGCTACGATTTAAGCCGAATGAATTTAAAATTTGTACTGTATTTTTACCCACTACCACTTTGATCATGTGCCCTTATCATTTAAATCGAGTAAATGTGCCATTCACTGTAAAATGGTAACGAACAAAATGCTTTGCAACGTTATGAACAATTTTCATTGTTTGAATTGCAAATATATAGTTTGTATTGCAAAGTAATTGTTCGTAAGGCTAGACTGTTGTTCGTAAGCAATTTACGGTGTGTTGTTTAAACGTCAGTTCCTTTCTACAAAATAAGAAAATTGACAAATGCACGCAAATTTCGTGGGCTTACACCAGTGAACCTGAATACTAAAGATAAATTAACACTATGATTGTACGCAACGGAGAGCGCAAACTATTTCGCTATATGGCCTCATTGGTTCCTAAAATTATTTGTCTCCGCTTGAAAGATGTGCCTTCTCTAGACGGTAGCACGGTGCCTTACGACACGCGCGTCGAAAAGAGCGCGGTGGAGGCGAACAAGTGAACTGCTGTGGTATGTGTGTGCCCTGATGACATTTCGGAGCGGGAAGGAAAAAATCCTAAGAAAAGAGAGCACATGGGTATGTTGCGTCGGACCAAGTACACATCATATACATTATCAAATCATAGGTACTGTCAACGTAGTAGACATGGTATATTAAAAAAGTGGACCCTAAATAGGCACACTAAGTATAGATTTCATTACAATTAAGAGAGTATTTATGTTGACAGGGTACGAAATGTCGTTTCACACGAAATAATGTCGTATTTATCAAAAGTGCGAAATTGACACGCAGCAGATCAAATACTTAAACAACAAAAATGTAAATCAAAGTTTCTGTGACACAGAAGGTGCAGCACAATGTTGTGATGATCATATTGCAAAAAAAACCTTTGCAATAAACGCACGCATTTCTGATGGTCCTCTGTCACTTGTGTGATACTCAAAGTTATCCCAATTTCATGCAAAGTATATCACACCTTTTTGAAATGAATCCGGAGTCATCGAAATTTTGTGGAATATATATCTTTGTTAGTTAAAATATCTGTTTCAATAATTGATGATATTCAGACGATGTTTGAAATTTATGGTCGTTTTCTTGGAACCGCAAATTTAAAACACCGTTGCCCATTTGCGAATTAAGTCGGTACGTAGTGTCATCACAGTTTTGTAAATTTACAATTTAAAACCGTAACTCTGAAATAACACAGGGAAACCAAGCGTTCAATAGGAGAGTCGCCCACTTTCTGATGCACGACAGATCTCATGAGATAACCGGCATTTAAGTCACCCGGAGTCCACCAAACTCACAAGTCTCCCACACGGTGAAAGTGGACTTGTGTGGCAGAGGAACACTTACAAATGTACTTCTAGTACTGAGTTGAACACTTCGAGTAATCAACTTAAGTTGCACATTTGGTTTATCAGTGCATAATGTACTCATGGAAAATTTTCATAACTAAAGACACGCAATAACATTCAATATACTTCATAAGGATCACAATTGGATTTTCGTCACACGAAAATTTGCAAACTATCTCCCAACTTTAGATTTAGTAACAAAACTACAACGGCGTAGTGTTTCCGAATCCTAACCTACCCTCAGAGCGGAATCAGTGACCGACGCGGAAAAGCAACACTATAGTCCGAGACAATGCGCCCGAGGGCACACTCTGACGCCCAAGGCGGAAGGCGCGTCGCGCGATGGGCAACACAAAAGCAGAACATTCCTATTGTACATAATTGCGAATTCTATTCGACCGAATGACACAACCGAAAATTACGCTAAAAATTACAACCATAACAACTGTACAGCGGTGTTGTGGTAATTGCAACATCGGCATGCGGATCACCCGGCATAACCCGCATTTAGGTCACCACTGTCCAAATCCCGCACACGGTAAAAGTGACTTGTGTGTGAAGTGCTACAGAGGAGTTGGCGAGTTGCACACTGCTTGCAAGTGTACTACTACAAAGTTGAAATCTTGCAAGTAAAGTATTGCAAAGTTGAACCATTGATAGTATTCATCCTGCAGTTGCACACTTCCAAATTGCAAAGTTGAACCATTGCTAGTATTCATCCTGCAGTTGCACACTTCCAAATGTGAATCAGTTAGACGATGAACAGTTGGTTTCACTGAAGCTGCGTTAGGCCAAACCACAACATACCTAAGAACCAAGCCAATAGAGACGAGTAATGAAAAGATTGCGCCGGACAGGTTAGGCAGCCCATTTGACAGCGGCGCTAGGAGGGTAGCCCGCCGTTGCCTTCGACCCCCCCCCCCCTCCCTTTCCGGTCCGGACGGTCTTTCGTCTTGATCCCCTTCTCCTCAAAAGATACAACACTCCGCCACGCCCTCCCCGCCCCGCCTCTACACAGTCTCCAGGAATGCCCCCCGCACTGGTCGTGGGAGTGCAATGCGGTTTGGTTTATTTTATAATGGGGAGGCGGGGCGAGGGCAGGGTGCTGCATACACGGCGGGGCTCTAGCGACCTTGGCACATCCACGACGTCACATTTTTCCGATGTTTTATAATTACTCTTTTTCGGCAAATTTCGCAAACATCATTTCCTGGGGTCGAATTGCACTATTTTATTGGGGCAATATGTGTAACCAAGATGGTACGAAAATGTCTTCAAACATCTAATAAAACTGTCCGAAGCCAATAATGTGCACGGAATCGCACCCTTTTTTGGGACGAAATGAACTGTCCTTCCCAATTTACTGTGCACGATGTGGCATCTGAACTGTATCTCGCTGTTTTTTACAAGAAGAAATGCGGCCGAACGCGGCTCATTGCGTGCCTTATTTTTGAAAGAAAACTCGGTTTTAAAACGCAGGCCAAGCACAGCTCCTTCCTGGAAGGACTTTGTGAACAAGCCCTTCCTAATTCAATCCAAGCCTTGGTGCACTCGGTTGTGGTCACTTATGACAAAGGAATTACAGGCTGCGCAGCCCAACCTGCTGCTCGAGCCGAGGACATGTGGATTACCTTTCAAGGACGTTCAAAGACACCTCTTCTCCCCCCTCCGTTGCTCACTCACACACACAGTATTGAGCAGTGTGGGAGGTGTGTGGTGTGTGTGTGCGCATGTGTGAAGCAAGTCACCATCTGACACACGGGCCGCGCTATCCAAAAGCAAACGAACGCCCGTTGTCCGTGATTGATGACTGACTGACAAAACGCAGCGTGGCCCACGACGAGGTAGAAATCAGCAGCACTCGGCCATTCTCTCATCCACGAGCGAAATTATTTAAACTAGCAGCAGGCTCCACAGTAGACTATCGTAAACTTGTAAGTAGTTGCGGGTTGGTATACGGGGTTGGCCCCGGAAGACAATTCGTTTACACTGTGTCATCGCATTCAGGTTTGTGAAAAGCATTGCCCCCGCAAGGAGCCATACACAGAAAAACAAAAGAATCAGCTAAATTAACTAATGCATTCGCCGATGTGGCCTCTGATTAGAATGTTAGCTCGCCTAGCTTATTATTAGCTGAGAAAGCTAAACAATAGCCATAACAGTTATCTAGCAAATAATGCAACCAGCTGTGAAAGCTTATATGCTAGCTCTCTTATCTAAGAACTAGCTAAGCAAGCTAATTTTGTGATCTAAGGCAATATTAGCGAATGTATTATCTATTTAAGCTATTTCTTTTTTTTGTGAAAGGCGCCGTGGTGAGTGACGGGAGGCAAGCCTGCCAGCACGGCTGCATGCGGTATAGTATATTACAACAAAATATCCGAAATCTGTAGGCCAGCCTATATGTTAAAAACAGAAGTTGTCATTAAAGTAGTGTACGGTACAGGTACAGGGGCAACTTAACAGAATGTTAAAAACAGTTGTGGATTTTACGGGTAAATTTTCGATGAAGCGTAGAATTGAAATTTAAGATTGGAAGATTAAAAGCACTGCGGATTCGACTTGAAGTTTTTCGACAAGCACGCAATATTGGAGTGTCATAAATTAA